TGTATGACTAGTGAGTGGCTATCTGGGGTTTGACTAGATTCAAAGCTTAATTTTTCTTGATTTGGTTTTTTCTTCCTTTTGTGTTTTAGATTTCAGTCATTTTATTTTATATATATAATGTGACTCTTAATGCTTTATAATTCAGCATTGCCATGGTAATACATTGTGTAATCTCTAAGCAGTTTTGCATTAGTCTAGCTAATTAAATTAATGACTGATAGTCTTAAAAGCCAACATTGCTACTGTTTTTATAAGCCAATACTGTGTGAAATATAATAATAGAGATAAATGTTTTTCATATTAAGATTAAAATGTATTTGACAAAAAATAAGCACGCATCTCTTAGGAACATTGTTTAGTGTTATGAAATTGTATTGAATAATACTATAAAATTACCAAATTAATTTGTTTTTTTCTCTTCTGCTTTTTGCTAATAGAAATAGATTGAAATTATATTTTTGTATGTAATGCTTTTATTTTATGTTCCAAAGTACAATTAAAGAGTCAAGATTCAAGAGTGTTAAGCAGTTTTTGCAAACAAAACAAAAAAAAAACTTGGAACCCAGTGTCAAAATGTGTGCTTTTGTCTTCTGGATTCCAATTGCTACTGAGAATCATGCCATCCCATACACACCAGAAAAGCCTGCAAGGTCATAATGCATTGCTACATTTTAAAATGTAAAAGACGAACGAGCAGAAAAGCTCTTTAAGCATATGTATATATTTTTTTTATATCATTGACAGTTTCCATGATTAATGTGTCATTACAACATAAAAATCTTTTATTCATTTACTACCAATTTACCTTATACAGTAAAAGCTCTGTTAAGGGGCATTTTGTGCTTTTAAAGATTTAATTTATTCTAGTCTTCTAGTGATTGCTAATGTAGGAGATGGAAAAATACGTGTCCTTTACAATAAAATGTTTGTTCATAGGGCGACATGGGTTGTTAGCATTTCAAAGCCTTATTTAGGAATGACAGCATGATGAGCACAGCAGCACAGTAAAGATTTAAGCGGGTGAATGTGAAAGACTTACAGGCTTTGTGTTTGTTAAAGCGTTCTGGAGTCATTGCTTCTGTCTAGCAGAACTGCTGCTACTGTATTTGGTACCAGTATTTGGTACTAAAGTCAAAACCTTTCTGTTGTTGTTGTGGCTTTCATGTTTAATTCCATTATGTAACTGTTTACAAGCGTGAATCAAACTCATCTGTCATACCAGTTTTTGTATTTAATTAATGCTTTTAAAAGAACTGCCTTATCAGGAATATAACATTTAATTTTAAAAAATGTTTTATTTTTTCTTCTACTGACGTCAGTTCTGTAATATGTTGAGGCAGTTTTTACCTCAGTTCCTGGGTTGCCATGGAAACTGAGACAGTGGGCTCAATAACAGCATCTTCCAGCAATCTGCTTTTACAAAAGGCACAATGCTAGGAGAATTTCATAGGAAAGTTATTTCAGTTCCACCCCTCCTCCACTGGCGTATATTTAAAACTAGCCCTGATTTGGAGCAAGATGTCAGTGGGGCTCAATGCCAGTATGACTTTCCCCAAAGAGCATGTAATGTACATTTGTATATCTCTCACACACAGTACTGTTGCGCCTGTGACATCACTCTTGTCTAAATGGTTCCTGGAAGAAGTCTGTGGGTTTAAGTGCTGAAATAGGAGAACTGAAATCCCAAACCATATACAGTACAGTAGGGTAAATGCAAATTTCAGGGCTATGTGGTAAGATAATAGTGGGAAATAACAGGATATAACAATATAAACTATATTACTTTAGATATAGTAATAAATGAATGAATTGATTAATATAGAGCTATGTTTATATGGTTGTGGCTATGCTAAAGTGCTTGTTTTTTGTACAGAATATTTGTTTTTAGTATAGTGGAAGATAAACTCAATGAAATGCCTAGTATCTCAGTAATAGCACAACTTCATCATTGTCTGCATGTGCTTGGAGACCTCTCTGCATTTACACAACTGGCAAGTTCACATGCATCATCATGATTCCTTTGCAGTCTTTACCATCCAGATCAATGCACTAACAGAACTAATGTGTCTTGCAGTGTTCTTTTGTGGAGTTGCTGCTACCTGATACCCAGCAACTTTCCTGCCTGCAGCCTCACTGCAGTTTTGCTCTGCAGTTACAGTGTGTACAGTATATACTGCATCTAGAATATGTAAAGAATATTAAAGACTGTGCCTCTGAATGTTGTCACTCCCTGATGCTTTATCCTGTCCTGTCGCCATGACTTAACTGGTTTGCTGCTATGTAACATAATTCCATTTTTTTGATGAATCATTGTAAACTTTACATTTTTGTAAATCATTGTAACTATAATATAATGGAAGTGTATACTCAGGATCTGAAAGCTGTGGTCAGCCTGATGACTTTAGGTATACTGCTGTGAACCTGGGAAACTAAAATCAAAGTCAAATTTAACTTATTTTGCTGTACTTTAATATTGGCCTGCAATTTTGTTTTACTCCGCTAAACACCTAGTATAGTACGACTTATTGATCTATAATTACGTGGTTCTTGGTCTTGTTTCAAAGATGCTTTAAGAGGATCTGATTCATAGCTCAGTTTTGAAAGAAGGTGGGATACAACTAAAGTCTGGAGATTTGTTTATCTTAATTGCTTTTAGTACTGTAATTGTAGCTCTTCTGCATGTTATATTCATATTATTTAATTTAAAACTTTTCTCAGCATGAGACATTTTATTTTTTTCTTCTTTGGTAAAATCTTAAAAAACTAATACATAGCCATTTCTCTTTCATCGACTAAATGTTTCTCATTCCTTTGTTTCCAAGATCTTGGAATGTTTCATATGGAAAGTTTGCTTCACCTGCCTTTTCTTGGAGCTGGTCTGCTCTTTGGCTAATGTTCACCACCTCCAGGGAGAAAACACACTCCTGTTGACTCAGGGTGCGTGAAAGGGCCCTGATGACTCATTTGTTAGGGGATGTTATCTTAAGTTCGGTGCTCATGACAGACTGCTGTATTCTACTTCTCAGGAAAGTTGGATAACCTCTTCTCTGTGCTCTCTGTGTTGTTACTCTGATGGTTTTAGTAAGACATGGTGTGTACAGTATTACCAATTCCTGCAGCTCATGGAGTTAAGCATTTCTGAATCCTGGACATTGTAGGAAACATACAGTTAAGCTTTTATTTTCACCTATATTCTCATTCTTACAGCAAAAAAGCTGAAAACACATCAATAGCTTGTAAATAGTTTAAAGAAAACTTAAATGTAATGAAAAATGCTAAAAACTGAATGCCAAAAATAAACTTATATTAACAAAGTATACAGTGCAAACTGTCCTTCTATTTTAGATGTATGAAAAAATAGTACATACTGCATGCTCCAGTGCCTTCTTAGTTTGCTATCTTAGCCATTACCTAATTGGTGGTGCAGAGGTTTGTGTTTGTGAGTTATAGATCTTCACAAAAGAGTCGTTGTCTCAGGAATGTTCATTATTGTTGAGCAGATAATGGGAGTCACTTAAATATCTTCCCCCTCATTAAGCACTACAGATGAAATCCACAGACAGCAAGAGAGACCAGACAGGGAGAGGGAACCACAAGGGGGGCAGGCAGGTGGACTCTGTCCAATACTCTTTATGACCTGAGGTGAAGCAGTGGAGAGTTGTGTTGAAACATTTAAAATACTTGATTACTTGATCAGAAATCAGTCTAGAGTGTATATATATATATTTGAACCTTTAAACAGCAAAGATGGTAAGAAACTAGTTAATTTAACAGGATTAACAAAAAGTAAAATATGTACTGTTACATCTAGTTCAAAAGGAGTGTCATTTTTAATTGGATAAGTTATGCTTAAGCTTTTAGTACACTGTTATACAGGGTCAAAGATGCTTTAGGAGGACCTGATAGCTCAGTATTCTTTCTTTGTGCTTCTTTGCTTGGATCATGTCAGCTTAAATTTCAAATATGTCATGTAGGAAATGACTTGACTGGTGGATTTTAAACTGCTCATCATCTATTAACTGCAGTTTAGAACAGACAAGCTATTTACGATCATCACTCTTCATTATTAAATCCATTCAAGGCTAAACTCGTCTGTATTTTAGTCAGTTAGTTTATTTAGCTGTCTGCAATAGTCAGGCTTGAAATTATTTCCTTCCACCATCAGAATCCTTTTTGAATTGCTCTGCCTTGATATAGTTGTATTCTCTGGTCTAATCTTAATGAAATCATGCTTGAATAACCTTCCCCTTGTAACACACAACTCATTAAAATGCATCCACTGACCAGTGAGCAAATACAAGCCCTAGCAATCTCCTGAGCACATAAACGTGTTGTGGTCTTTAAGGAGAGGCAGGCCATGCTCTGTATTTCTCTCAGGAGATGTGCATATATCGGTTTGAAAATCTGTCTCTCTAAGATTTACAGATCACCTTTAGATTAAGGGCAGGATGTTTATAAAAGCAAATTATTGAAAAAAACTGGTGCAAATCTTCTTTTTTTTCTCAAGGTGTTATCTAAGGACATAAATGTAAATTTGGAATTCATATTTCTACCCAGGAAGCATGTTATTATTCCATTATGTACTCCAATTATGTCATGTAAAATGCTTTTATTTAGCAGCATGCCTGAACTGTGTAGGCCCTGGAATAGGGAGATGAAAAATGCTATTATATAAAACACTGTTTCGTTTTAGAAAAAAAACACTTCTGAGCTTCACTCACAAAATGTCTGCTTTCTGTATAAAATGGCTGTATAGAAGGAATGAACTGCAAGAGAAGGAATATACAGTACCTACAGTAGATGGGCTATGTTTTAATTGATGTACTGTATTTGCTCGGAATGCAATCAATCAGTGTTATGATGATCAAGTTCATGTGGTTCCTGTTATGTTCCAGTGATATTATTGTACTCTGTGTTTCCTGTCATGTCATGGGTCCTGTAAACAGAATCTTCCATCATGATGCAAGCAATATGTCTCTTTTTCTCTGCTTTATTGACAGGGTGTCTGCACCATGACCACAGCATTCTTGCACTTTTTCTTCCTGGCTTCTTTCTGCTGGGTTTTGACAGAAGCTTGGCAGTCTTACATGGCTGTGACTGGAAAGGTGCGGACACGACTTATCCGGAAGAGATTCCTGTGCCTGGGATGGGGTAAGTGCCTGGAGTCTCTTCAACATGGCTCCTTGCTTTCTTAGAACAGGGAGTTTATTTGTAGTCAGAGCTAATGAAAATTTGCATTTCCCTAGAGCTGTTACTCCTACAATAGTCTTACTTAGCTTTAATGTAAAGAAAACTAAGAAATAAAAATCAAATATGACACTTCACATTATTCTCACGATAGTTTCCTCCTTTTCTCTTACACTCAAGATTTGTTCCATTGAGAAGAATAAAAGTCTGTTGTGTAACACAGGTATGGAGAAATCACATTATTCACTTCAAAAGCAGCATTAACTTACAGTAAATGAAAGAAAAATACTTAAAAGCGAATATCACTGAAACTGCATAAAAACTAAAATAAAATTGCCAGAAGCAATGAAAAGAAGGATCAGCAGACAGTTCCTCATTTAAACTGTATTGTTCTCCATGAGGACTCCAATACTTATTCTTACAATCCAGTTGAAACTTTTAAAAAACTCTACATTTCTAGATTGGACAGTCCTGATGACATCTAGAAATCTAGACAGTAATGATAATGATATATTTGAGCATCATGGATATCATCTAAGAATTGAGAAATATCAATTATGTTTTTTTGTATAATGAAAGCTAGATAAAGACATTGCACATCCTCACCATGCTTCCAGCATCATGCTTCTGCGTCACACACATTCTCAAAACTGATGTAGTGGAATATCTTCTGTTAGATAGTGGTTCATAGGAAAGATTCCAAATTAAACAGCACATCATGCTTTAATTGCCACACATGCAAGACCATCGTGTGTCGTGCATCAGCAGAAAGCACTTACAGGACACCTGCAAATTATGTGGCTCCTGTGAAGAATTTGGCCCAGATTTCCTCTCTCCACACACAGCCCATTTAGAACTTCCATATTTTTTTAACTTAAATAGTAATAATAATTAATATAAATAAATATTTTGTTGTTTTCTGCATCCATTATGTGTATCTTTATCTATTATTTTTTAGCTTCATTAGCATTTGTGTACTAATTCAGTGACAGCAAAAACCTTTGACACAGGATTTAGTGTGAAAGTTTTTTGTTTGCAACTTCATGAAACATATTTTAAAAAGTATACGGACACATGAAATAAGTAAGATGTGACTAGTGAAAAACATTACTGACCAGTCTTTGAGTGCCTAGCTTTGAGGGAAATGGACTGGGCATTTTAACATTTTCAGCCACTGAGAAAGTATCAGAGAAAATATTCTGATTTGAAGTAGAAATGTTATGAAATCCAAAAGGCAGTCTTTTCTGCAAACGTATAATATCAAAAAACAAGAGAACGTTTGTTGTTCACTTCAATCACTCCAGCAAGAAAAAGGCAGACCCACATTCATTTGTAATGTTTTTTCAGTCTTATACTGTATGTTTGCTTCTGTTTGCTTCTGTTAGTGTCGTTTGTGATGGCTGTGCTTATTATTTTAGCTTTTATGCTATTCCACGAAGAGTAAAAACCATACCATAGCACCACTCCTTTGAAGTTTTTTATTGATCCTTTTCACTTTCCATATTCACTAGGAAAAACAGTCAGGATGAAACTACTGTTCTTTTTTCAGTACTTTAAATTATCTTCTGGGTCACGTGTGTTTCAAAGAAAATTGGTGTTTCAAAGAAAATTATATTTGAAACACCCCACCTATTGCATCCATCTTCTGAACACCATGATAGGAGCCATATTTAATGGATTGTGCAACAATAGAGACACACTCAAGGGTCAAGGGATTGCTACAAAAAACACTTTGTCTACCCTTTCTTTCCTATTCCTTACCACAATGCATAAAGATGCATCTGTTAAAAACACTGTAGAACTTTTGTGCAAATTTAAATGATCACTTGGAGATCTGAATCACTTTTCTCGTTGCCTAGCAACATAAAGGTCTTATTTGTGCTTGTAGCCCTCTGAGGCACACAAAAAAATACACACTTAGGCAGACAAAGAGAGACAGGCAGTAGATCATTGTAGAATAGTAGCTTATGTTCATCTGCTAATTTCTACTGAAGTGTAGTTAACAATGGGGCTTAGACCATGTGGTTGCTGGGAACAGATAAACTGGAATGCAGTTAAAATGTATTCTGCTCAGAGAAAAATATATGCAGTAAAAGTGCAATTCTACCCACTTGGATTTATATTAAATATAATACTTAACACACCATGCACAAATTGCCATTAGAGAGTAAGGAAAGCTTCACAAAAGGGCATTTTTAATAGGCATTATCCATCCATCCATTTTCTATCCACTGTATTCAATATAGGGTCATGGGGGAGCCAGTCCTGGCAAGCAACGGGTGCCAGGCAGAGTACACCCAGGAAGGGACACCATCCATGGCAGGGCAGGCTACACAGACACGCACACACTTGCACCAGTCGTTTTTCCTTCAGTGTTGCCATTATCTTGCCTTTCCAGTGGACGTGAATAGCTGTTGTACTCTTTATGCTGCACTGTGTAGGTGCACAGTACTGCACTTCCCTTGTCATAGTGAATATGTTTGCTACTTTGTGTAATGACCTGAAATCTGGAGGCCTGGTTAAAATTAAAACTTCATGCCAGGATTTTTGACCATTTGTGTAAACAGTATATGGATTTAAAGCGCTCCTGATGTCTGAGATAAAAGCTTCCTGTCTGAACTCTCTGTCTAACAACAAAATAATTATTTTTCAGGATTACCAGCATTAGTCGTTGCCATTTCAATGGGATTTACAAAAGCAAAAGGCTATGGCACTCCTCAATAGTAAGTTCACTTTATATATATAAATATAGTATACTATATACTGTATAAGCTTTAAGGCTCAGCATAATATATTGCTAAAGCATTGCTTTTGATTTTGATTTGCAGTTGTCTAAAACAAGGCTATTCACTAATTTATACTGTACATATAATCAGAACTCTACTTTTGTCACTTTGTCTATGATACACCTTGAAAATGTATATAACACTCATTTATTCTGGAAACTTACTATTCTAATGGATTGACTAATATTTGATACAAGAAGATACTTGCATCTCCCATGTGTCTCATGAGAGAAGAATTATTGAACTGTCAAAAGGCTTCTTTTAGGCCCATGGAGCTATTGGTTTATAATTTTTTTTAAATTCATAAGTGTTAAATGACTAATAGTTGAAGATATTTAAAACCCTGCAAGAAGAACAGCTTCTGATAGAACATTGAAAAGTGAACATTTTTTAGTTGGAGCCAGAAAGAGTAGAGTCATTGACTGAAACGCTCTGCCTCTGCACTCATTGACTTCCCTCATCTTTTATTGCTAGTCATTGCAGCTGACAGCCAGCTCTTTAAATAAAACTGAAGAGCTGGTGGTAGAAAAACACAAGATTTTATAGTCTTGTAGAAAGTCAGGAAGGTATCTCTATTCAAGTTCTATTAAAGCAACTTTTCTGTGTGTTTTACAGTCCCTAATCTCTTGTTATTTGTGTCCTTGTTAAATAGGAATGTATTAAATACGTTTTGTCAGCAATGTGGTCTCTTGTAAACCTTTTCATGTAGAACTAGACCATATGGCACTGTCCCCCAGATAGTAGATTATAGTAAAACTGTATAATATACTTGGTCCCTGCACCATTAATTTAATTCTTGGTGTTAATTTTTATGAGAAGGTTGTTGATGCCTTGTGTTCTTTCCAGCTGCTGGTTGTCTCTTGAAGGAGGTCTTTTATATGCGTTTGTGGGACCTGCTGCTGCAGTTGTTCTGGTAATTATATATTCAGTCTTGTCAGAAAGTTTTGTTTAATATAGTTTGATGTATTTTTTCAGTCACGGACACAAACGCACCTTTTGACTGCTTTTTCTTGCTTTGTCTTCATATAGTTTGTCTTTTATTGTATATTTCATACACTTGAGTACATGTTTATTTTTCAACATCGACTACATATTATAATAACATACTGTATAATGAAATAACTGCTCATCCAGATGGGACAGTCATATCAAATCATTTTAGACATTTTTTATGCAATTTATGTTAAATTATATGGCTTCTTGTTCTCTGGCAGTTTGGTAATAAACCAGCCAACAAACTTCAGAAGACTATATTTATTTCAACATCAAACACCAAAACACATAAGTTTCAGAGCCTTGCCTTGGAATGAAACAGAAAAACAGATCTCACCCTTTAACCAAAGCATAAATAGGGAAATAATTTATATACAGTAAATATAATATTATATATAAATATACTATATGTACATTTCCCTAAATATATATAGGGATAAAAAGGGAATGTGTATCTTATCAAATAAAATCCACTCAGGACTAAATTACTCCCCAAAACTGATGCCAAATGAATGAAACCTCTTTCTCCATTCCAAACAGTGCATCACTAGAGCAGTAATACAATTTAGATACCACAAATATGAAATATGTTTTTCTCAACCATAAGGCAACAGTCTTTTACTTTAAAATTCTTCAGTGTTTAAATTACCTGGAAGTTGTATATTATCTGATCTTCCAAATCGGGAGCCCTCTCACTGTGCTGATTCTTCTCCTATCTTTTTCTTCCTCTGTTGTGTCCTGTATTGACTGTATTTCTCAATTCATCCTGCCTTGAGTCCCAGTGTTCCATCCCTGAGAAGGCAGGCTTGATTCTTCACAAAGAATTATCTAGTCATTTTTTAATTCCAGTAAAAGTCTTGGCGACTTGGATTTTCAGTGCTCATGTCACAAGATAAGATAAGGGATAAGAAAAGAATGGGGTACTGTAAGAGGTGAAATATACAAGTAAATTTCTTGTATATTTAGTAAAAAGTACTAAATATACAAAAAGTAAAAGTTAATTTCTTTTTATTGCTTCCAAAAACTGTTTTGATGATGTACTGTAAATGATGTGACACTTAAGTCTTTTTCATAATTAGCCTCTTTGAGATCAGTATTTCCTAGTTTGTATTTATGTTTATGTTTTTGCTATGTAAACATAAATTAAAATACTATTTACTTGTGTACATTAAATTTTGTTTTCCAGATGTTTGTCAAGGCTACATATGATATGCTTGTCTACATATTTTTGAATTTCATTAGCTGCTTCTGAAGTGTTTGTTAAATATGAGCTAGCATTTGGTAATCATATGAAATGTCCAAATGGTTAGTCCTGATCATTGCTCAAAAGGTTCAGAACAAGAGGAGGGCTTTTGGTCCCTCTGGCTCTCTTGGTTGCCGGTACCTAATTGATCCAAAGATTGAAATATATCTTGAAAAACCCAGATGTCAGCTTTGACAGTTGACTACGTACTGTAGTTTGTTCCAGACACTAACAGCTATTTGTGTAGAAAAGTACCCCTCTTAATTAGCTTCTCCTTAATTTCCTCCTGTGTCCTGTGGTACATTTTTAACAATAGAATCTGAAAAAAATAGTCCATTGGTTGACTTTGTCAATGCCTATGAGGAAATTAAATATTTGAATCTTGAAAGATACAATAATTCAATAAGTTGTTACTATTTTAACTTGAAGCTACAAGGAATTATATATACACTTTATATTCCTGGAGGGAAGCATGAAGTAGTGACCTAGACTGCATTAACAGCACAATAAACATACAGGTCAGATGTTCAGGTTGGTTGCTCAAAGCTCTAGTGTATTACTTCTACTCTGGAAGATGACTTCATTGTGGGTGGTGAAGAAAGATATAAGATGTGAAAAAAAGGTGGACTGATTTCTTTCTGCACAAAGACATTCCATGCTTAAGCACTTTTGATTTATGTCAGAGTATGGGAGTTACTGTAACTGATAAGAGATTCCAAGTGCCAGATAGAGACTCTCTAACTAAGGAAAGATAAGACCTGGCCATTCAAAGTGTTCAAGGTCTTGGGAATGTCCAAACACAGGTGACCTCCCCCCATTACTATAGTTACAATTTGCTTCAGAAATGGCTGAAGTTTGATATATAAACTGGAGCTTTGTACCTAAATCTTTAAACAATTCTTTGATCATATTGTTCCTTGCATTCAATAAACTCAGTTGTTCAACTTCATCTCAGGGTCCCAGAATGTATTTGTTTGTTACAACAGTGGTATCTGAGTAAGTAATATAGTGGTTGATTTTCAGTAGCTACTTTGGTTAACTTTGAGTATTTCTTCAGTAGGTGATTTAACACATGTGAATATTACGGTTTACGGTTATTTTTCCTGTTATTTACAACTTTTTACCTATTACTAGGTCAGCAATATTTTCAAAATTGATATAAACAACATCGAGTTTAGATCTGGTCCTTAGCCATGTAATGCAATTTCATTAGTCCTTGTAGTGGAGAGTAGGCATCAAAGCTAATATTTGGAGTTGTTGATGCCTCTTTTTTCCTTAATGCTATCAAACAATTGCCTTTATGAATATAACATTTCATTTTGAAACAGAATGAACTGTGTTATTTTTAGATTGCAGTTTTAAAATAAGAATGGTTTTCTATTCAGTTTTCTTTAAAAATTCTTAGACCTGTAATACAATACAAGATTTTTATGAAAAAAAGTTTTTTTTAAAACTAAGAAACAGCAGTTTATAATATAGCAGCTTAGAAGCAGTTTATAGACGACTGGGACTTGAGAGATGTTAATTCCAAACCTTGCTTATTGTAAGTGGTGAGCAAGTTCACTGCCAGTTTTGAAAGGACTTGTTACCCACATGGATATGTTGAACCTGATAGTACCTTTGACATTACTGCACCAGAGCATTTTAACATGCTTATGCATTTACATTTCTGGTTTATTGATTCTTTATATTAGCTAGTGAAGGGAGGTTTCAAAAGGAGCAACCACAAGCATACACAAATCAGTAATGCCAGAGAATTATCTGACAAAGTTGCACACACCTCTTAGCCTCGTTTCTGCTCTTCATTTCTTGAGGTTTCATTAATTTGTTGCTGTCTTAATTCATTTACAATAAATAGAAGTTAATAAAGAAGCTTTTATTTTGATAAAATAAAAATAAATGATTTATGATTTTATTAACCAAATTACTTCATTCAACAGGGACTGCAGATATCTTAAGATTATACTGTATTTACCCCATTCCCTGCCGTATTTATACTGGTGTTTTATAATATTATGATATGTACTGTATCTTTTTGGGGTTTTGCAGGTAAATATGGTCATCGGCATACTGGTGTTCAATAAACTTGTTTCCAGAGATGGAATCTTAGACAAAAAATTGAAACACCGAACAGGGTGAGTAGATGGCATGTAATGGAATAAATAGGGGATTACACAGCCATTTTCTTTTTTAAACCTATTGTGCACTTTTTGATCTATTTCCTTTTTTAAATGGAAATGAGGAAGATGCCTTAAGCTCTGAGTGGGAAATATAGTATCAATAGCTTTGCTTCTTCTAGAGGCAGAATGAGTTCATGATGAGAATACTTAACAGCTTCTTATTGAATCTGCCTGCTAATATTTACAATCTGTTGTGGGACCTTAACTTCAAATGACAGTTTGCCAACACGTTGTTTTGTCTTGTTCGCAGGCAGATGAGTGAGCCCCACACCGGATTAGCTCTCAAATGTGCCAAATGTGGAGTTGTATCAACTACAGCTCTATCTGCTACTACTGCCAGCAATGCTATGTAAGGGTTCATCAGCAGTGGAATTAGTCAGTAATGCTACAGGGCAGATAAATGGTGGGGAAAGCTGTGACTAGAATGCCTGGCTTATATAAATTCACATGTGTTTTCACGTGTCCATTAAATATTGTAACAAACTATAGGTATAGGTACTTGTATTTTCCAAAATATTTTTGTTGGTGTGTAAATACTGAAAATGTTTTTGATACCAATACATTACAAATGTGAGCTGAATAGTTGGTGTTAACAGAGATTGTTCATTTCTGTTGCAGCAATTGTAAGGTACATGTCTCTGCATTTGATTTCTTTAACTGTGCACTACAGACCACAAAACAGTTTCTGAAACACTTTTTCTCTCTGTGTGTGCTCAGGGCTTCCCTGTGGAGTTCATGTGTAGTTCTGCCACTCCTGGCTCTAACCTGGATGTCAGCAGTTTTGGCAATGACAGATAAACGATCCATACTGTTCCAGATACTCTTTGCGGTGTTTGATTCATTACAAGGATTTGTCATTGTGATGGTCCACTGTATTCTCAGAAGAGAGGTATGGATGAAAAAAAGAAACTTCAGTGATACTATTCCTTCACAGATGCACCTCACCAGCCAGACAAATATGTAGGCACTGTAAATCTCTTTTGCTGGGGCTTCCCCATTCTAGCTAGACAGATTTACCCAAGTTCATTTGTTTCTGGAGAAACCAGCACTTTATTTCCAGAGCTATCACTTACTATTATTATTTTACTCAACTAAATTACTAAAGTCTTAGAAATAAAACTGTTGAGGAGTACTGTAAACTCTCCACCCCAGCTCTCTCCCTTTTATGAACTTGCACACTGTATCACCGTACAACATATTATCAGCTTCTGTTTATTTTTAGCTTTATATAGACTGTCCATGCATATCAATATCTAGTGTTGAAATAAAAAATGTCTGAAACTACCATTAACTTTTAAATGCAATGCAATTTAAAGGGGAACTACAGTACAACCATCGTAGACCGATCATCATCGGTAACAAATTAAATTCATTGACATTATAGAAATATTATGCCAATTTTTAATTAAGCACAAAATTGTGAACTTTGTGAAAATAAATTGCGATAAGATGCTGCCCTTCCTGCTCACTAGTCATTGTACTGAGTAATGTACTGTGATGTAGAGCAAATAAGAAGGTTGTGCAGCAGACATTTCACTGTAGAAATGTTCTGTGATCTACAGACAGAGTGAACAGGTAGTATTTGTTGGTAAAACTGTCTTGAAATCAAAGGCAATATTTCTATTGGATTAAAAGAGAAGCCTGCTTGTTTATAATGTAATAAGGCCGCAACATGTCACTGGAAGTTTTGTTGCCTCATTCTGAATCACAGAGCATGGTGCTGCACATACCTGGAAATTTCATCGATTTTGTTACTGTGTACTTTTATTTTGGTTTGAAATGCAAGAATCAACGCTGATTCTTTCTAACCCCTAAAATAGTAGTGCAGTTCCCCTTTAATGTTGCAATTTTGTTTTTGCTGTTTACCAGTAAATTACGATATCCAGTTGTTAGAAATAACTAGTTACACATAAGCAGATGCACTGAAGGATCACCAACATTCCATCTGCTTAAAAGAAATGATCTTGTCTCAGGTTCAAGATGCTTTTCGATGCAGACTCAGGAACTGTCAGGATCCAATCAATGTTGACACTACTGGCACATTTCCAAATGGCCATGCACAGATAATGGTAAGGCTTTTCTTTAATTTTATTTACTAACTTTACTAATTTTATTTCACCCTTTTCAAATCAGAGCAAACACATTTACTGGATTTCGCAGTTTTCCAATCAAAACAAAGAAAAGAGAGTAATATTTTAATAGAGATAATAACAGTGACAGAGAATACTTTCTCGCTTTTCCAGATTAATCAAAATATTGCCAGTCTGAAAGTCATATTTAAAATCTAATAGTGAGTTTAGGTAAAGGGAGAAGCCTGTGCTGGACTAAAGTAGCCACCAGGTGTGCACTTTGTGACTGGGAGGAAGGTCAAGATCTGGTTCAGTTTACAAGTAGCTCCAAGTCAGAAAGATTTGACACCAAAGGCAGAACCTGGAATCCCAGGATTGAATCTGCAAGCAGCTTTCAACTGTCTACTGGCAATGTCCTTGGGAGTGGAGGGAGAGCGGCCCAGAGTTGCCTTGCTCACCCTGCACAGCTGACAGAGCTGACAGCACAGGGTGGTCTGACGGCGCCTGCTCAGTCAAGTACATTTCCTTCTCTCAGAGAAAAATATGTTTGTAGGGGAATGAAGAGAAACACAATGTTTTTAGAAAGTTCAAATTCAGTTCTGCTTTAAAGCAGCTGTCATGTCATTACAACATTAATTAATGAGCTACCGATTTTTTCACTGTTGTTCCTTTGACCTTGATCTTATATTGATCTCTTTACTTAATGTATCCATAGCTTTTGCTCAAACTGAAACTATTCCTTCAGGTTAAGAATTTTTTTCTAAGGGTCTTATATCTTTTTAAAAATCTTTTATACATACTGTAACACTTTGTGTGAACGGTAATTGACAGCTTTTTATATGCTGCTCCAATACAAATAAACCTAGTTTTAGTCTGTTTTCTCAGTCATTTATGCTAATGTCTAAACTACGGTTTGATTGAACTTATTCATCATATTTTTGTCATACATCCTCACTCACTTTTTAATAATGTAATGTTATTTAAATGGCCTTTGAAATGAGATGCCAATCTCTTAATCACAAGATATTACACAGGCTTATGGCCATTACTATCTGCTAATCATATTCAAATTTTTCTCTTATGGTTTCACATTAATGGAATTGGAGATACATTGTAACACAGTAGTTCAATATGCTAATTTACTAGATATCCTTTTGCTCCACAGATTAGTGTTAAGATTCTGTGATCACAATTTTATATTGTATATTTAGTTGTTAAAATTAACTAATTAAAGATTTAAGCAATTGCAATATTAATTTGTCAGACTGTGTGAATTGTACATAATCTTGTGTTCTGTGGAAAAGAAAATAATGATAAATGTAATCCAACAGTAATAGTAGAAAAATAATGCAACTATAGTATGCAAATTTGTCAAAAAAAACTTTCCAACAAGGTATCTTACCAAACTTTTAAAATACAGCTGTCTGGCCAGTGAAGCAGGAGAGTGTACACCTCTAATGATTATATTTATCTTCCAACAGACAGACTTTGAAAAAGATGTGGATATTGCTTGTCGGTCAGGTAAGGAATAGATGTTTTTAATTAATGACGAGCTCTTTAAAGCAGGTTTCAAATACCATTAAAGTCAATCCATTAAATTGTATTAATTTGTTCGAAGCAATGTATAGAATATTAAATTTCTTTGCATTGTTACAAAAACCTGCTCCAGGTTTTTGTGTAGCTTCATATAAAAACTCAGTGTGAAATTTAAAAACAAAAACAACAAGAAAGTCTTTAAACACCAAAAAGCAGAAATTTTACAAACTAGGTGTGTGAAGAACTGTTCTCAGTCTAAAGCACAATAAGTTCAGTTTTTAGTCTCTGTTTACAAGGTTTCCATAATGTCTGTCGTGTTAGATTTTTCTTCAGAGAATGCAGACCAATTTCTCAGCCTAAATGAACTGGTCAAGTAAACAGAATGAACAGTTAGATACACTATAAAACAGCATGGTTTATCTGTAATAAAACCTGCAGTTTATTGTTATCAAAATCCAACTGCACCATTATTCTCTTTATCCTTATTGGTGTGCAGCTGTAGAGCAGAGTGGCTCATTCTTGTCGCTATGGTGATTTCTCAGTAAGCCTGCAACCTCTTCGGTCAAACAGTCACTGAATGTAGAAGAGGTTTCGTTCCAGTCATTATACCTCCTCTGTATATCTTTTTTATAATTTCTTCCTCTTTTTCATCTTTTTTTTTAGTTTTAAATATTTTGCCAGACACAATTTATTTGTATATAATTGTCAATTTCCTGTGTTCAGCTACAGTCATGGCTGAAAATGTCACCTTGGATCAGGATTAATATGGTGTAGCTCTTTAAAAGTGAGAAAATGCTGTTTGTCCTTCTTGATATCCTCTATAATTATTTGATTAACTTGCTGCATCAAAGGATTCAGCTGGGCAGTTGGGGGAATAATCTTGAATTAAAATATCATATATTTTCATTACTATAGTTGTAAAGGGTATAAGATGCAAACAATTATTATAGCTGTTTGTATATTTACAGTGGAAAACAGTTATAGTCCAGAACTATCTTGAAGATTTGAAATACTGTGTTTCATTGTTTTCAAGCATCAGTTTTCAGATCTGGTTTGAACAAAATAATCAAATAAACTATTGTGTAGTTTGTGCTATTTAGTAGGCAGTAAAAATACTGTGACATTCAGCTCTTACTGAAAACTAAGAACTTCATGATCCAGAAGTAATTTAAGCACACAAAAAAATAGAAAAAGAAACTTTAGTAAGTCCTTGCTTTTAATGAAAATCATCTCCAGTTCCGGTTTAGGAGGGCTTGTGTGTTTCTTCAGCTATTTAGCCCATCTCAGCTCTTAATGACCTAAATGAGTTCATTACTGGCTTAATTCCCTTGCTGGTGCTTTAAGGAGATCTAGAAAACCAACAGGCACACCAGCCCTCCTAAGCCAGGAAAAGAGACCCCTGAATTAGATCACCAAAGGCACAGAATGAATTAATCAAACTAACTGGAAAAAAATGTTTCATGCTGTAACATTTACAAATGTTGCTTAAGTAACATTTATATGTTTCAATGTGGGTTCTTGTTTTCTTCCATGTTATAAGAAACAATATTTCCATCACTGAACATTTCAATTAAAAGACTAAGGGTATGATTTGTGTTTAATATTCCCTGAACTACTGAATTCCTTTAATAATATGTAATTGCCATCATTTTGGAATATTCATTAAGCTTAAAACTATTCTGATTCACAGCCCTGTCACACCAGCTGGAGCCCTTAATATCATTAATATCCTATGTGCTGCAGGAACTGGTCGTGCATTTAAGAACATTTAATAGTTTCCCAGAGTACTTATGCCAGGTTTAATGATCTTGAAAATGAAATGCTCTTCTGTATGTTTTTGTAAGAAAAGAAGCAATAGGTAAAACACAGTTCCTGACTAGAAAGCTTCTTTATACTACTTACTGATACACCTACTGTTGAATTAATTTGTCAAAGGCATCCAATGGCTTATTTTTCATTTCAAGTGGTAGTTATCTGAATGTTTGGGAGGTTTTCTACATGGCTTCCAAATCTCAAAAATAAATAAGCAGCAGAAATTGTACAACATACAGTGCAATGTGTACTAATATAAAATGTAATTGTTTTCACTCATCTTTATTGATGATGTTACTAATGATGGCAGCAGCTGAATTAATTTGGATATTAATGGAAACATTTTGGCTGCTTATGAAGAAAATGTTACAAATACACATTATGCATCATACTTGGAGCCTTAGACGGAACAATGAAGAACACGTCAATCTCCAGACTTAAACTGAACTGAACATGTATTTTACATACTGATGAAGTCAAGAATAGGCAAGAACTCAAAGTGACTGTGTCAAAGACTTGGCAAAGCATCTGAAATATTTCTTAGTTGGTGAGCTCAGTGGGTCACGTGTCATGTAGGTACAGCCTCAAAGGGATAGACAGCTGAAATACAGACTTTTACACTTCAAAATCTGCTTAATGTCAGTGTGTCCTTATCCTTGTGGTCAGTTGAAAACACCTCAACACATGTGTTTTTATTAGTATAATCAATTATATGCATGGAAGTACCCAAAAATAAAATGTATATTATATTGTACTTATCATTCCTATTAACCTCAAAAATAAAAATTGCTTGACTGCAAAACAAAAATAACAGTTTTGACTTTGCTGTCCCAGTATTGTGGGAGGGAACTGTATGTACTCTGTGAAGACCACTTAAAGCTACTGCTACAGTGGGTTGTCATCTACTGATCACAAGAAAATACTTTTTATTGAAATACCAAGTTATATCAAATTCTTCACTGAATACTTAAACTACTTTAAAACCTTTTTATTAGAGTAAGGAACTGATCCAACTTGGTACACACTGTTCTATATAATAAAATATATATTTTTGAAGTTTTATTGTTATTTGGTTTGATAAATTGTAAATAATTACATTTTTAATTATCCTCGCAATTTCCAGAAATATAGCTTGGTCTGCATTGTGGTGTTACAACTCATGAGTTCTTTCTTGTAAGAAGGTTTGGTAATCGGGAACTTTGTATTAGCTGGTATAATGACCATTCTGTAGAACTGACTGTAATGTACTCTAACCCATAGTGTTCTGTAGCTGCTTCATTAGGTATTTGCTTTGGGAAGTTTAGGGCATGTGGCATACAGCACACGACCTAATTCTTGGCCTAGAAGTTACTACTGTAGCTATATAAGGAGCCTGTCTAGGGATAAATCTATTCTCAGTTCCCATTCTAGTTGGTTAATTTTGGTTGTAAGCTCTGTGTTTGAATGATTTGTTTGTTAATTGTGCATTAGTTTCCTGTAGTAAGTAGCTTGTATATATAGTAGAACTACAACTGCAGTTCAGTGAAGAGACAGAGCAAGGAGAACAAGTTAGAAATTATGCTGGAGTTTTTATGGCTTTAAAAGAAGATCCTGAATTAAAGGCACAGAAGCCTATCTTTGTTTTGTATGTATTAATATTTTTTAAATACGCTTTAATTGAAAATCTCAACAGCTCCTAAATGGTCAAAGCAGTAGCATTTTGCAAATAGGCAAAGTGTGAAAAGTGTGCACATTAAGTCTTATGGTATTACTGGTGAGACTTTGAACTTTACTAAGCACAAGGTAAAACAGCTAATGTAATATTTCCTTCAACCAGTTTACAAATATACAACATTGGAAAAGCATAAATTGTAATATAGACTGATGCAATCTGTGGGAACCATTAAAAACATTGAAAGTGAATACAATGCTTGGAATATTTGTGAAAAAACTATGGGTATGCATTTTTGTAAGAGTTTCCACAGTCAATTTTTTATTCATGTCTTTAGCTACACAGTCTTGCTTTTTGGATGGTTATTTAAACCACAGTCCCAATCCAGCTATACAGTAAATATGGTACTTTACTGGAAGCCTTACAGATGATAAGCTGCTGACATATTCTGGGTAAAACATTAAAGTAATCAATAATGGAGAATTAGAGTTAGGTACGGTGTGTTTTTATTTTGTCGAGGTGAACAAATATTGATGCTTCTTTGCTGTATAGCTGTCGTGTTTCTCTGTCACCCTCCGCAGTGAGAATTCAACCATCTGGAATTTGACATGCTGGTAGAACTAATCAATAAAATGCACATATCTCAAGAAATCTCATCTCATATTCTCAAGAAACCAGACTTTCCATGTAAATTTCATTATGGATCTTGTCTAATATCCCCATAATTACAACATCCATTGTAATCTCTTCACATGCTGGTTTATTTGTCCTGTAGGGACTGGGGTTAGTTCATCATACAGTATTTGTGAAACAACACCTAATTGTTCAGACTATGCCTTTGCTTCCTCATCATTTCTATTTTTTATCCATGGAAAATGCCATATTTCACTTTCACTGAAATATGAAAATTGCCCATAAATTGAAAGACATGAGTGACTTAAAATTCAGAAGTGTGGTTTTGCTGAGATGAAAATTGTTTTTGAATATGTACAGTATGTGCAGTAAATGTGTCATCAGTGTCAGCTGATGAGTAGGGGTAATGACAGTTTAAGGAGATTTTTTCTTATTCATCCTGTTTTAAATTTTCAAATCTCAGTTCATACCAGTAACTATAAAAGGTTTAAGGTCACCAGAGGTCAGTCATCAATTATTCTGTATCCTGCCAATGAGCACAAACTCTCGTGTTTTTATCACATCACTACTGTCTTGTGTGCAGCACTTCTAGTCTCTCCTTGAGGAACAGAAGGAAGATTATCAAGCATCTAGCATAACACTTTACCTCAGTGAACCATAATACTCTAAACAAGACCTTTGCAGAACCTTTATTTCTCTCTGATTTCTTTTTTGCATCAACCATAATGCACAACAAAGCAAAAAGGCAATATAGTTTCTGCTTTAAACAAAACTCATTTAAATCATTTTGGTCTCAAATTTACCTTTTAACATTCTTTCTGTACTTCAAGCCCTCCCTGCAATATTCACAAACAGCTGGATTTCAGCCAGTTTAACCACCTTCTGTTCTGAATAGTTAGTGTAGTTTCCATTGGACTTGGGAATGATTTAAACAAGAAAACACTGTTAGGGCATCTCCACTGTAAAGCACTATATCTGTAAGTATGCTGGGAACAGAGTATCATTTTAAAATAAATGGAACCACCACAGGACCCAAGACTGGTGTTTCTCCTTTTAACCCACAACAAAAAATCAGACTATATCTTATACAGACTTCAAGGAGAAATGGTCTAAGCTTTGAGCATCACTCTTTTTTATTTTTGTATGAGTCTGTGTGTACAGTATATTAAGGTTAGTTCCAGTTTGATAGGTACTCATGAAGTGTTATGATATCACTAGCTTATGAAAATATCTCAGTCTATACAGGTTTTTAACTTCTAATTCAGTAATCTTTTTTCTTCTTCTTTACTATAAGCTCTTCACAAAGACATGGGGTCCTGCAGAGCTGCCACCATAACAGGAACTCTTTCACGGATTTCCCTTAATGATGAAGAGGAAAAAGGTCCTGAAGCCATGAGCTACTCCACATTGCCAGGAAACATTATGTCCAAAGTCATGATGAAGCAACCATCCGGGCTGCACATGCCCATTGGAATGAGTGAACTGAGTGACCAGTGCATTAACGATAACAACAGTGACATGAGGCGAACTGTCTATTTATGCACTGATGACAACCTGAGGGCAGGAGATACAGAGATGCTTCACCCACAGGGCCAGATGTTGGAGAGTGACTACATTGTGATGCCAAGAGGGTCGGGCAATGTTCAGCCCCACATGAAAGATGAAAGTAAATTAAATATTGGCATGGACTCCTTGCAGCATGAAAGGTTAATGCACTATAAAGTAAACCCTGATTTCAATATCAACCCACCTGGAATGGATCACATCAATGTGAATTTAGATCAGCAGTTCGCAGCACAGGAACACATGCAAAACATACAGTTTGAACCTAGAACTGCAGTAAAGAACTTTCTAGCAGAAATTGAAGAAAATACAGGATTGTCGAGAAGTGAAACCGGTTCTACAATATCTATGAGCTCTTTGGAGGTAATTAAAAGCTTAATTTTGAGTTTAAGATACATTATCTGAAAGTGTTCATCATTAAGCAATAACCTGAAAGGACTGTTCTGTGGATTTTTATTTAGAAATTTAAAATAATTCTTTAATCCCATTTTGTAAAACTTTCTGAGAGAACAGATAGGAAATGTATTTTCCTGTGCACAAGAAGTTACTGTATATAATATGTTCTTTTTTGTTTTAACAGAGAAGAAAGTCACGTTACTCAGATCTGGACTTTGAAGTAAGTGATAACTATTAGACGTGTGGTCCTATGAAAGACATTTAAATATTCATTTAACCAAAATAATGATGAAAGGTTTCCACTATATAGTATGTTAATAAAAGGCAACTTGGTGATTGGGGTCACAGGCTCACGAAAGCCACACCTCAGATTTATTAAGGAGCTGGTTAGGAGAGATGTCTTCAGAAACACACAGTGTCTCTTTAAGAGACATGAGCAGGACAGACCTCTCTAATCAGACTGGCATCTAATGTAGTTTGCAATTTCCTGATAGATGGAAACAGAGAAATGTGACACAGAGGATGACCATTCTCTCAAGAGTTACACAGATTATTTTGCCCTTGAAAAAATGCAATTCAGTCATAATTGAAAGCTTACTTCCTGATCTGCTGTTGTCTGGTTATAATATTACAGAGCTGTTTGTTATGCTGAAAATTCCATATAACAAAATAACTAAAACAGAAGATTTATCAAAAGTCTTGAAAATCTTAGGGAAAACATTTTACTTAGTGTCAGGTTATTTATCAGTAGTCTCCACACTTAAAAAAAGGAAAATATGTACTGTAGCTAATTTATAAATTAAAAGCCTAATTATTTACAAAGTACATAGAAAGCATCAAGGGTTACTAGTACAAATCCATTAACTACAGGCATAAACCCTACAGTAGTTCAACAAATAGGTTTTCACATTTTAATTTTAAACACGAATTCATTTTCTATTGTCATTTCTGGTCAAATAAAGAATTTAAATTTTAAATTTCAGTAAAATGTCTCATCATATACATCACATGCATTATATTATTAACATCATTAATTATACAAGCTATTTAATGTGTTTAAGCCTTACAGCCTTTTGAATGTACATGTGGCCTTTCCTAAAAACAGATGTGCTTCCTTTAGATTGGTCTATTGCTCTGCTGCATACTGTGACTGAAAGATTTCCTCTACTATTTGTAAATCTTATACACCAAAGCACACCTCTTCCCTTTACAGTTATGTTTTTGTCATACTAAAAAAGAAAAAAAAAATCCACAGTGCATTGCAGCTTAAGACAGTAGGTAAATGGGGAATTTGGACAATAAATTCACTTGTAAAGCTTAGAAGACAGAAGCATTTACTAGCTTCTCAAACATTCTCATTGCAGAAAGTTATGCACACAAGAAAACGACACATGGAGCTGTTCCAGGAGCTCAATCAGAAATTCCAAACCTTGGACCGATTTCGGGACATACCAAATATGGCCAGTATGGTGAGTGGAAGGAAGCTGCTTCTGGCAGAAGAAAAACAAAAATCCAATTTAAAGCATCTGCTCTATGCAGCCTTTATTCCTTGTACAACAGAGCAGAGTGATTGAAGGGTTTAATAGTGGTTTCACTAATGCACTCAAACAATAACGTGCACCTAACATGGTGCATTGTAGCATCTGAAAAGGTGTAAAAAAGCATGAATATGGAGCTGCAGGCGATCACAGTGACAGGGGCTGTACAGCTGTCCAGCTGCATATGAAACCACCTTTTCAAAAACAACCGCATTAAATTGTTTTTTTTATGGATAGAGAAAAGTGCTACAGCACGTGTTCAACTGTAGTTTATTTAAATGTGTACAGACCTCAGTGTGATGTTATTGACTCGTTTCACCGTTATTTTGTTTATTTTCATGATAAACTCTCACAAGTTAATTCTTCAATGAAAAAAATGAACAAAAAATGTTGAAATCATGGTAATTTATCTTCCTGTCTTTATGTTCAACTGTTTATTCTGCGATTATCTAAAAAAATGTTTAATTAAATCATTATCTAACAGTTTAAAATACATAGAAGTACAATAGATAGAAGCATTAAAATATCTGAATGTGATGGATTTGTCCTGTTGCTAAGACAATCAGCAGCTCCCATCTTTTTGCTCCATCCTCAATTCCAGTTTAACAACTTAGAAGATACTTTCTACAGACACCTGAATCCTTAAAAAATACTATTTTATTGCCCTTTAATTTACTCACAGACAAAACTAAAATGTATGTTTCTTTGTATTTCACCTCCCTAGATAGGATTTGGATGTAAACAAGTATTTTGTTTTACAAAATTGCTTTCTTTCGGGAAAAAATCCTACTGTAGCTCCTTTGAACAACTGTACAATTATGGATGCCATCTTCTTTCAGGGCACAGGGTATGATATCTAAGTGTAAATTATTGCTTTCATTTACTCCTAGGACTGTGCCTAGTCCTCTTCTCTCACATTTCAATCAGTCTTTCGGAAAATGTAATTTAGAGCCTGTTGCTTAGTAACCACTGCAAGGGCATTTGAAACAGAACTGATAGCCATGTCTTTTTTTTTTGTTTTTTTTTCTGAAGAACTCTGCAGCAAAACTATGTGTGGACACGATTAGCATCTTTAATGCATTCATGCAGGTTGCAGCATCGTTGTTCTCTTTCTGTAAAGAGTGTTACATTTTCTTAACGGAAACAAATGGGGAAAGCATTGGCACAAGACTGAGTCCAACCTTACCGTCCACATTAAGACAGGGAGCTGAAACACCGTCCGACATCGTTAATGTTGCCCCTTTCTGCTGCTTTTTGCAGGACAAGCCAACACCGAACAAGCACCCGTGGGAAAGCTACAATGCACCTTGTGAATACCAGAATTACGCCACAATGAATGTATTAGAAACAGATGCAAAGGATTCACTAGAAATGACACCAGCAGAGTGGGAGAAGTGTGTGAGTTTGCCTTTAGATGTGCAAGAAGGTGATTTTCAGACAGAGGTTTGAAAGCAGGGCAGTGGAATTGTTTGCACTGACAACACAAAAGACTTTTTGCAGCCTGGCATACATATCTGGACTACAGGAATATGGCAGGGGCATAATGTGCCATACGTAAATGTCAGTGTTCTTTTGTATTCTCACTAGTGTACTTAGTGGGGCTACCAGGTGTACAATATTTACCATCATGTGTTTAAGTACCTGTGGAATGAATTGGTAAGGTAATATTTCTAGATGAAACCTCAAGCAACAGCTCCTGTTGTTACAGCTTCATTGGGTTCAGTTTTTAAGGAACTTTACCCTGAAGCACAATGTATATATTTATGCAGGTTTTTAAAAGTTTATAACAGTCTGTTTGGCCATTACTACACTTTTTACTTTATAATATAAAAAGGCAAAGGTTTTTTCTGTCATTTAAATGAATGTTTGTTGAGCTACATTCTTCATTGCTTTAAATGCAATAAAGGTAATACTCACTTTTATATGAATAATATATTTCACATCTTTATTACTGCAGATTTCGCTTGAAAGCTTCAATAAGCTTTCTTGACTGCAGCCCTGTATAAAATATTTAAAATGTTGTATGGTGTAAATAAACTTTTGTCTACATATGTTTTACTTGTGCCATTTATTTTAATTAAAATGCAGACCTGATGAAATATAGAGAAATGTTAACATTTGAAAAGGAATGTAAATAAAAGAGAAAATATGTTCTTACTGCTTCAGAGGTTGTGTCATCTCAATGCCGAATTAATCTAATTCAAACTACTGGTAGGAGCTACAAGTGTTTACGTACAGAACAGCTGAAGATTTGCTCTATTTTTTGTTTTGTGCAGTCGTCATCCTAACTAGTGAAACTGGCAAAACGTGTGATTGGTGAGTTAGGCATCCAGGTGTTCACTGATTGGTTCTGCTTCAGACATGCTGTTTTTTTATTCTTGCTGAGAATACGCTTCAGTCCTCAGTGTTCATACTAGCAATTGTTTATTTGCAGATGTGTTTCAGTAACCCCACACCAATTAAAATAACCAGTCCCTTCTTAAACTAAAACGAGTCACATGTTCAGTCCTCTAATTTCATTTGCCTGAATATGTGGCAAATGAATTGTGATTCTCTGAACACTGGAGACAGAAATGGTTAATGAGAAATGGACACAGTTGTCTTGAATAAATACCTGAATCTATCCATTGTTCTGTATGTTTTCTTGCCCATAAAAGGGCTTTGTATGAGGTGGTGGGGTTGTAAAGTGTCACAGTTGGAAGCAATGAAACTTTCATTATTGATGTCAATAGCTGAGTCATAGCTGGGAAAAAAAACTTTTTGCAAACAAAAAAATTGGAAAACCATCTGCTATTCAATATCTTTGGGCAGGCCACTTTATCTTTAGTTTTTCATTTTGCAGTTGCAATGCAGATCGCATAACAATTTGACAAATGTTTTATGCAAACCACATAAAGTGTCCAGCTTTTAAAAATATTTGTATTGCTCTACCTGTTGATGACTACTGTAGATGCCTTGTTTTTTCTCATACACTTTCTTCACAGCCTCTTCTGGCACATGAAAGTGAACAGGAACGTCCTGTCAGGAACAAAACTCTGCATGTCTTCAGAAAATCCATTTGTTATATCTCAGTGTCTGCATTACAGCATCCCTAGTGCTGCTCTGCAGTGGGAAAAGCACTTGAACTCATCAGTGTGGGTAGAGTAGCATTGCAAATTTACAACATGCTGCTGTAGCTAAAGAACCTCAGCTTTCAGATTACAGCACACTCAGAGACAGGAAAGATAAACATGAGAGGCAATCACTGCTCATGCATCTTTAACCCTAGAACACCCAGGACAGAGATCAATGAACAAACTGCATTCTATTTACTGGGGGAAAACTCAATGCCTTGAAAAGAAGTATTTTACAAAATATATTTTTTCATCCAGTATGGGATTATCTTGTATGAAAATAAATTTAAAATTAGATTTTTTGTTTGGGTTTCAAAAGTGAGTGTGAAAATCAATTTTAAATACAACCGATAAATGTACTCACAACATAATTTTCTCACCTTGACTTTATTGATCACAATTTGGCTAAAAAAGGCTTTTTTTTTTTTTTTTGCTTTTGAAAACTAAACCCACCAACAGAGCACCATAATTGACAAAAGAATTTTGAGTGAAAGTGATCTATACCCATGATTTGAGGAGTACTACAAAATTAAAGAGAAATCCCTTTGTGTAAGTACTGTAGGTGACGGTCTCTTCACGTCTGAGGAAGACAAAAAAACAATCTTGATATACTGTATATGAGACTGACAGCAGTCAGTGATGTGGAGACAGTCACACTGAGGCTTGCTACATTACACCTCAGCTTTCCACATTAGTATGCACTGAACCTGCAGTGCTCCTCCTGAGGATCCTTCATTGTGTGTACAGAAGCCACATTTTGTCTTGTGAGTTTTAGAAAAATACTACATTTTACATTGCATCACATTAATGATGATCAATTGAGTTAATGTGAAATCTGCTCAAGTAACCTTCAGGATATGCAACAAAATATCTAGCCTCTTTTCTGGTTTATAGATTATTAATCTATAATCTTTCATTTGGAGTTTGAGAAGTGAACTCAAGCAAGAAGCTGGGTACATTTGTACAATTTTGCTGCTGTAAATGAGTTGCTTTATTCGTATACATGCTGTATCCCTATGTTTTCAAAAGTATTGTAGAGAGAAAGAGAGAAAGGCCGCATAGTGGATGCTTAGAGTTTGAATTATACAGCTGCTGAGGGTTGATTCTGAGATTGAAGAACAGCATGAGCTGCTTGTGGACACTAACAGGATTACAGCTAGGTGTGCCACTTGGAGTCATCATTTCAATCTGTTCCTGAATTTTAATGAAAATCTCTTTCTGTCTTTTTATTGGCATACTTTACCTGAGATAACTCATTACTGATACATCCATCCATCTTCTTAACACTTTATCCAATACAGGGTCTCAGGGCCACCATCTCAGTTGTAAATAACTTCCATAAAAACTGTGAAGATCTAAACCTAGAACGTCTGACAACGTGGTTGAAGCCAATATGCCTAGGTAGGTTAGGTCCCCTTTTCAGGCCATAAAGGCCCATTGGGGAATGGGGGCCAAGGGCCACCATTCCTCTTAACGATCCAACACTGGTCAGCATCACGCTCCAGTGGCCTGTTGCTCCCAGAAGGATTAACCACTGGTACTCATTTGGATAGCACGCTGAGTGGATCTGGGAGCTATCTGGAAGGAATTAGAGCAAGCTACTGTACATCGTTTGCCCCTACCTGGGATTGAACCAGGGACCTTCCCATAAGGAGCTAGACGCCCTTGCCGTCTGACCTACCGCGGTGCCTGCTGATTGAAAAATGTACCGGTGATCAGGCACTGGAACTACAGACACAGAGGTAAATGGCTCATGGCTGACAGCATCACACACCCCAGCAGCAACCTTTAGTACAAACTCCAGTCATTTTTACCCTCTGGCAATGGCTATCATTTCTGTCCTGGAACGCTCCACTGATTAATGCCAATCAATGCAGCATGCACAATGGTCCTGTGACCAGCTGGAAACACCATGTGCTATGTTTTAAATGCCAGGAAGAAGTGTGCTCAGGTGAAAACTGAATAATGATTCATGGATTTAACCTGAGCATACATTTACCCAGCCTTTTACAGCATGATCAACTATATTTCTACTTAGAGAGACAGGAGAAATTGGTTGAAATTCTTTTCCATGTTGTGTTTCAAGCAAAGGGTTCTGTAAAGAAGCATTAAGATCTCTTCAGTGAATTAGGGACCAGTCTACTCAGCTAAGTATGGTTTTGTTTGATGTTGGCCATCTGTTCAGTGAATGCTATGACCCAGTCCTGCCTCTCAGAGTAATGCTCAGAAAACTACAGAAATCTCTGAACAGCACCAGCCTGTTCCACAGAGGAGCCAGATTCTTTCAGTTGTCAGAATATATCAATATGTTTGTTGGAAGTAAAGAAAAAACTGGGCTTCCTCTGATAACATTCTGCTCTTCTAAATACAGTAAGTAGAATGAATGATGTTTTTGATATTTCTATTTTTATTTGGAATTTTATTCCTTTAAAACTACTTCTAGAATTTCACTAAGCTTTTCCATAGTTTGCTTCCACTGAAGAACAGTTTGAAATATTACTAACAGAAGTACTCTAATTGGAAACAGAAAAATGTGGTATCCTCTTTTTCATTAGACAGCTTACAGAGGGTACCTTCACAGTGGAAGATAAACTCCATGAAAACTGAAAGACTAGTGACAGGAGCTATCAGGAGTGAATTACAGCCATGTGGTATCCCTAAGTATACACCTGGGTCAGTTTCATGAAAGAGGATTTGCAATCCACACCACATTTGTGAAAGAGGAAATCAAATACTCAGTTTGCAAGAGAATAAATTAAATGTTGAAGAACTCTGACGTTCGTCTGGAGGTTTCCCAGAGTTAATCTCCAGTAGATAAAAAAGCACTTTGAGGAGCCACCTTTAAAATCGCTATATAAAATAAAGTTTATTATTTTTATTGTACATTCTAAGAAAAAACAGACTACTACTAGAAGCTAGAGCACACTTCCATATTCCTATATGGATATAGATCTCTATGATAATGAAATTACACACTTAATAGGTGACCTTGACAAAGTCACAAGGCCTTTTTGGAATGCTTCCTCTGCACAAATCATGGTAACAAAATCAAGCCAGTGCCATCTTGGAAATTCACTGGCTCCACTGTTCTATGCTACTACTTCATGTGGTTTTTAATCTCAGTCATGCACAGAGAAGAAACAGCATAAGGTTTTGGAAGACAAGAAATGGGAAAGGATTAGGCATCTTGGCTGTCTATGAGACAGGCATATGGGACCATAGTATTGAAATTGCCTGGGCCTTTTACCATTATTAATAAACCACCTCAGAACAGAGGTCAATGTTTTATTTCATGAATACTTATAACCAATTTAAAGAAATGCATTCTATCCATTTATAATAACTTCAACTTATTTATAAAAATGTATTTTTTTCTTCTTTCCAATTTGGAGTAACCCAATCAACTATGACTCTCATACTGGGGGAAGAGCACTGCACATGACACCCTTAGACACATGCACTGCATATACAGTAGTTCAGTGCCTACAGCAGAGAGGTAGTGGAAGAGCTGATGCAGCTCTCAGTCTGATCTTACTGGCCAGTTAAGTTTGAGCCTTTTGAGGGTAGCCATTTACACATTAGTATGGTATATAAAACACATTCTTATTAATCTCATTATACAAAGCAGATCAGCATCAAATGGGTGTACATAACTCCAGAGCAACTATATCCACCATTTCACCAAACAACTAATTGTGATTAAATGCTTACTTATTTTCATTAATTTATAATCACTTGCATTTTTATAGTACTTTTCAACCCAAAGGGCTCCATGTATTGTAGTTGACCCAGTGTGGCACTGCTCTGTGTGATGTGCAGAAGTTCTGCACTTGCAGCCCCACTACTCAACACTTCAGCTGGAGAAGGCAGAATGTAGTTCACCAGAATTAAGGGGAAAATTTAGGGATGCCAGTCTATACAAAGCCTTAGCAGAATTAAACCATCTCCTCTGTTCTTTTAAAGTTTCATCTTTAACCACAAAGAATGTCAGGACCTTACAATAACATCTCACCTGAAGGACGACACCTCCTACAGCACAGTGTCTGTGGTCAACATACTGGGGCTTTTGGTTTGGAAATTCTGGTCCTGAGAGAAGAGCACCAAAACCTGGTCAGCCTCTACAGCTGCAACCTGCCTTACTTAGAGGAGGTCTCCCACCGCAGCACTGACCCGACCCGGCTCGGCTCAGCTTCTGATGACATCAAGCTACAGAGCTGCAATGCAAGGAGGGAACTGCCATCATTGACACACATTGCAAACGCTGGTATTGGAATATTTAATAATTACATGTAAAATGGGTGTTCTGTGAGAGAAGTAACAGACAATACAGCAAATTTGAGAAAAAAAATGTTTTTCTGTTCCAACTTTCCGTTTTCCCTTTCCATTATGTTGCATTGTGTTCAATGTAGATGGCATCAGCGCGTCATTGAATTCTATTACAAAGAAGAGTATATTCAGTAAATAAAATTACAGCACTGTATTAAGAACTGATTAATAATATAAATAAACA